CCATGGATAAACCAGCCGACGGAAGACCTGTGACGTCGAATACTGATCAAATCATGGAAAACATCGAGTTAGACCGGCATTTGGTATCATGTGACATCACCCAGAAAATGGGAGTTAGTCACCAAACCATATTAAACCATTTTCAGAGGCTGGATACACAAAAAAGATTGATGTTTGGATGCCGCATGATTTGACGCAAAAAAACCTTCTGGACCAAATTAACACCTGCGATATGCTGCTGAAACGGAATGAACTCGACCTGTTTTTGAAGCGTATGGCGATGATAAAAAGATCACATACGACAATATGAAGTGAAAATGGTCATGGTCGGGGGCCGGTGAAACGTCCCAAACAGTGGCCAAACCGGAATTGATAGCCAGGAAGGTTTTGCTGTGTGTTTGGTGGGATTGGTAAGGAATCATGCACTATGAGCTGCTCCCATATGGTCAGAGGATTAATTCCACCATCTACTGGACTTGAAGCAGGCGATCGACCAGAAGCGTCCAAAATTCGTCAACAGAAAGGGAGTAGAGTTCCACCAGGATAACGCCAGATCACACACTTCGTTGATGACTCATCAGAAGCTACGGATGGGAGGTTTTGGATATTGCGCCAAGTGATTACCACCTGTTCCTGTCCATGGCGAACGGCCTTGTTGGTGTAGAGCTGAACTCAAAAGGAGCTTGTGAAAAATGGCTGCCCCAGTTCTTCGCAAATAAGGAGGGGGGCTTCTACGAGGGGGGTATTTTGAAGTTGCCTTCTAGATGGAAACAGATTAGCGAACGAAACGGAGCATATTTGAACTAAATCCGATCACAGTAACACTTTTATAAAACATTGAATAAAAGCAAAAAGGTGGAAGGGMGATATTTGACAACCTAATRTATAGTATAATTAGTAACTAATTAGAATTTGTTCATAATCTTAAAATTATTAATTTATTCTTCAAATGTGGCCCCCCTCAAAGTACTCTTCCTTGGCCCAAATACACTTGTGGCAGCATTTTCTCCAATCCTCGAAACAGTTGTTAAAATCAATTTCCGTAATAGCCTTCAATGCGCGTAGCGATTCACATTTAAATAAGTACCAAATGCGTCATTTGTACTTCAATTGACTCTTAACGGTTATCCCGGAGCGTTCGTTTGAGTTTGCTGAATAGCCAGAAGTCACAAGGAGCGAAATCAAGCGAATACCTGTATGCTAGCCCACGTGTAATTCAGTAAGCGATGGCGCAAAACCAGGAGTTATCGGACTATAGTTGCGATAATCGTCGATTCTCAAGCATCMATTTCTTYATTTCATTGAYGTGTTGAACATSAGTTGATATTGATGGCCACCCTGGACGYGGTTTGTCGTCAATGCGTTGTTCACCTTTTTTGAGTCATTTATACCAATCAAAAATACTWGTTCGCGACATGGAATTATCGCCGAAGACYTTWGCCAAYATTCTGAACGCTTCGTCACCAGAAACTTAATTCCGCGCACAAAATTTTTGGAACATCTTTGTGGAATAATTTTACTCATTGTAAATATCGCCGAATGCACTTTATGTACTTCAGAAAGACAGGTGTATACTAAACAATAATGATTATTTTGATGTGATATTTGCCACATGTATCACTGACATCTGTACCAATCAAGAAAAAAAAAAAAACAATTTCTACGAATGAGTTTCCGCGTGAAATTTAAATTAAACATTTTTACTAGTTTTTGCTCACATTAGGATACATACCTAGCCGTATTTGGTCCCTCAAATCACTGTCTGTAGCAAAAAATTTAAATAGAATTGGCTTTTAATTCTATTTAGTTCGGAGAAGTTGTTAGTTAGTTTATGGTATTAGACTAAATATGCTTGTTCATCATATATATAATTCATATGTCACAAAATTCTTCTTATCCACATTTATTTATTTTTCCAATATAGGTGCTGAGCTTGAATCTTACGAACCTACTTATTATAATTCTACTAAAAATATTAATATTTGCTGCTGGCATGCTGGGTGCTGGGCATTGGAGTGGTTATGGATATGGTTATGGGCATGCGCGAAGTGCAGATGGTAAGATTAAAATTTAAACTTATATTTTATATCGGAATTACTTACTATCAATGGAATTACTTACTATCAATGGATAATAAAAGAGAATAACCTTCTGACACTTTCTAACTCAATATATTTATATTTTGCAGGTTAAGGGGGAATAGGGTTTACAAGGTAAAAAAAAGACTTTTTTGTGAATTTATTTCTCAAATCTGGATTGAGTAATTTTTTTCGGACCTTCTGTACATTATAGAGCACACTTTTGACAATGTAAGATAATTTTTTCATGCAGAAATATTGAGGCATATGGCGGTAACAGTGCTTTCCCCAGAACGTCTTGAGAAAAAAGAATTTGCGGTGTTCACTATAACTCGGCCGGAAATTATCTGAAAATAAAACCAACCAACGTTCTCTGATAATTTTTTTTTGCATTCAAAAATTTTGGCGGCCATCTAAAGTGTAAACTGTTATTTTCCACAAAAAAATTCCACCATTTTGTGGGTGGAAAACACCCTCAATGAAAAAAAAAAATTTAATAAATGTTGGGGGTATTTATATGTTAAAAATGTGTTCAAAGAAATGAATCGATCAAGTAGTTTTGAAATGATAGTGAACACGGACTTTGAGAAAGTAGTTTTGAGAAAAACGCGTCTGCAGCTGCACTTCTATCCCGACCGCGCTGAGCTGTTAGAGCGTTAAAGGCCAGGAGACTAACTCTAAGAATATTACTTCTATCGACTTATAATTATAAGGACATATTCTTGAAATGTTAAACAATAAGATAAGACAAAAAAATTTATTTTTCGAAAGTGAAAACTTCTAGCCCAACAACTCTTTGATTTTTTACCAAAAAAATAAAAACAAGTATAACAAAATCGTATGTTGCTTTCTACATAGATTTACTGAACCGAATGCTTCGACGCTATAATAAAAAAACTGCATACTATCTCACTTTATTGGTGACTAGTCTTTTACCAACCGATCCATAGTCCGATAGGTACTTTTCAGGCATTTGGTTATCTTGACTTCCTCCACATTTTGTGTTTTAATTACACTATTTTGTGTCGTTAAATTTTACCAGCATAAAAATGTCTTCAAAGTTGAAGAATTATGTCGAGATGACACACTTCGGGCGAGTATTGCTTAGGGTTGCTTTAATTAAACGGAACCCACTTAGTTGATTAGGTTTGCACATATGGGATCCTGTTTGGTTTTGCAGTTCACTGATRCACAATAGTTGGAACTCCGATTTCAATATTCTTCAAAATATAATTAAAAATATATATATGCTTATATGAAGTGTAAATGAATAAATTTAAAATTTTTCTGAAATCACCGCCATTTTGACAGTTTTTTCCCCCGATTTTAAGGCAAGGACCTTACTGAAAAAAATATTTTTTAAGTTTCATTTTCGAAGATGGTCGGAACCACTGCAGCAGAATGGGTTTTTAGTGTCACCGAAGATCGAATGTGAAGTCTAAATTTAAATATTTTTATCCAAAACTTTCACTTTATACTCCTAGATATGATACATTTCGAGGTCACCTACTTTTTTAAAGAAAAAATTATGAAACTTCGAATTTAATGGGGAATGTTTATTATCATTCGGAAAAGCATGCTTTCGCATTTATTTTTTGAAGATTATTTCTTTCAAATATTGGCCGTGGCTACGTCTCAGGTGGTTCATTCGTCGAGTCCAATTTTCGATGACTTGYTGGAGCATTTCGAATGACAAACGTGAAGGTTTGTTCTAAGGCCTGAATCGAAACGGCATCGTTCGCATAGACTTTAGATTTTACATATCCACACTGGAAAAGTCTAACGGCATGATATCACACAATCTACATGGCCTATCGACTGGTCCAAACCGCGCCAAATTGTTTTCTGAATGAAATGTCAACTCTTGAATCTCATCAGGGTGCTCTTCGTCCTAAGTGTGGAAATTTTTCTTGTTTCCATACCCACTGAGCCAGATATTGGCCTTAAAAACGTCGGATCATCTCGAACTTTTCAAGAGCCCATAGAGCGAAGCGCTTTCAATTTAAGATTTCGACGTAAAATGCGCCAAGTTGTTCCATACRTCAGTCCGGGKTACTGCGAACGGCGCCCAATCGAATGCCCACGGTCTTGGTATGCACTCTCAGCTACGGCTGTTACCCTTTTTTAAAAAACAATTATATTGTACCTTTCCACTTTTAATATATGTACAAAAATCACCTTTTTTGAGGCCTTTTCATTAGGTGTTTTCCTKAAATCCTGTTTTGTCTGAACTTATCTGTTCTCAGTAATACAWGCAATATTAATACTGTTTCTCTTATAGATCTCCACTTTGGCTTGAGTGACGGCGAGGATTATCTTATCACCGGTTTCCTAGCAGCACAAGGCATCGGACTTGATGATTGTCTATATGCAGCGGCATGCGCCAGCCCGAATGTGGCCTATGAATATGCGAAGGCCGCAAAAGCATTAATTGAAGGCATCGAAAAGTACGAGGGGTAAGCTAACGATCATTCAAACATTCGAAATATAAAATAATTTTCATTTTTTTATATATTCACCAGCAATGCGTTCAATAATCCGCGCTACAACGATCTCATTGTGCTGCTGGAGAAGGCGGCCTATGACGGCTATCGCGGCTTGCCCTGCAACAGATCATCGAAATGCGATAATATTAACTGAGCAGACTAACAAAAAACCACACCGTTACATACTTAAACAAATACATTTTTTAATGATTAATTTTTATTGTATTGCTACTCAATTATCAATAAGTAATTTAGCATTTTTTATTATTAACCAATCATACTATTATTTATGCTAGCGTTGTTTATAAAAAATTTTAATCGCTTGGTAGTTATTTACAGTCTTAATATGTTGCTCTACATTGTTTTTACAATAAAGGTAGAAATATTTATGTTTATTTCATAATTATTAATAAAAAAAAAAAATACTTCTCGATAATAACTACTTATGTGTATAATAATTTAGCAAAAGGTTTCTTGAAAAAAAGCATAATGCTTACATATGTGAATGTATATATAATACTTATATATACTTATACTTCATTTTCTATATTTTGACTATTTATTGTTTACATATTTTTATTCGGTTGCAAATTGAGCTAATTTTCCTATAATTACWATTACTATTTTTTTCATAGTTTACTGCACAAACATTTCCTCTCTGTTTTCGGACTCTATTTTTCTTTCAACTGCTCAGCTCTATTGCGCCTCTGGCGCCCCAGTAACCGCTTTCACATATTCCGCATAGTGCAGGAAGCCATCCTTATTAACATCCGCGATTTGCAGGAACTCATCAATAACCTCTGGAACACGTAAAGTCTGCTGCTCTCATGTTAAGCTTTCAAAATTTAATGCACTCTTTGGCACTTACCTATGATATGATTCAATTCTTCCGTGGCATTGTGCAGGAAGTTATCTCGATCGACTTTTTTGAAATGTTCATCTTGATGTATGGCCGCTTGCAGCATCTCCAGTCCATCCAGAGCGTTATTGTTGTCGCTGTCATGAATCTGTTGGATTTGTCAATAGATTACTCTATATTTTTATAAACAATTTCTGCTGATTTGGACCTCTCAATGAGGGTTATGTACAAAATTCGTCATCGTTTGCCTCTTTATTATTTATAACGTTTATAACATTTTATAAATGACAGCAACAAAAATCTGACAAAGAAACAATTAATTCCCACACATGTTGAGCCTATATCACCGAAAACTTATAACTAAACAATTAAGGATGGTGCACTCGGTGAAGTTCCCAAAACACTTTGCTTTATGACTCTACTACAAAATGCTCTGGAAGTTTCTCMCCTGATTTTTCCTTGAATGAAATTCAAATTTATAGAAAAAAACGCATTTGGTCCAGTTGAAAAGGTATGTCATATTAGATTTGTTCTAAATTGCTTTCAAACTTTCTTTAATATTTTTCCCGCACACAAGATTCGAACATTTTTTTTAGATACCATGAGGCTCTGAAAATTATCCAGTTTGATAAAAAGTCTTAACTTCGTTGACTTGACTGTTCTATAGTCAAACATTGTTGCCATAAAATAGTCTTTAATTGGAATTCAGATCTCCCAAGATTTTGCATTTAAGTCGATGATGAAAAAGAAATTCCGTAATTTTTGATTTCAAGATGGAAATCCGCTGATTGATAATAGTTGCAGAACAATAAAATAATCCTAATGACATGCATTAATATYTTGGTATGAAAACTATAATGAAGAAATAAGGAAAAGGGCTCTGGRCATTACATCTCACATTTACTCAAGGTTCTTCTTAATACATATATCTTAGATATGAGATCGCCCGGTAGGCAAAATATTTTTCATCCCAATATGAACTTATGCACATATTCTTCGATCAATGAGACTTAGAGCCTCTCTAGTAAATAATTGCGATCCCGGAAAGTAGCGAAGARTTGATCTTTCCAAATTTGATACTAAAGGGTGATCCAACTAAGGGTATATTTTTCAATAGCCTTTTTTTGACAGATCACCCGTGAGTTGTGTCAAGCTGACATTTCATTTTTGTTCACTATTGTTTGGCATTTCATCTTGAAAAGACCTACGCCTGAACAACGTTTACAAATCGGTTTCGAGTCAAATTTTAATCAGCAATGAGACCCATTTCTGGCTAAATGGGTATGTAAGCAAGCCAAATTGCCGCATTTGAGACGAAGAGCAACCTAAAGAGATTCARGAGCTGCCACTTCATGCAGAAAAAACAACAGTTTCGTATCGTTTGTGGGCCTGCGGAATCATCGGATGAACCATCTGAGACGAGACGTAGCCGCGGCCAACATTTGAAAGAGATAAACTTCAAAAACCTCGAAGTAGATCACCCTGCATATTGTACTAATATTTAGAAATTAACTAATCACCAAAATCAAAAGAAGGCTTTGAAGTGAGTTCCTTTGTCTAGAACATTTATAGAGCAAATAACAATTATCTWAATTTATAGATACTCACCTTAAAGTAGTAGAAATTCTTCTCCTCATCGGACATGCTATCTAAATTGACATTTATGCCCATATCCTTCAGATCCTCATCGATGCGGCTGCAAGTAAAATGGGAAAGTTAAATTTTGTAAAGAAATACTTTTTTATAGACAAAGAACTCACTGCTCTTCGTGCGTTAAATGCTCATCCACTTTACGTGTTTTCGACTGTTCGCTACGCGGGTGATGCGGACCGCGCTTAATAGCCACACAGGGGTCCATTGTTTGGCTGAACGTCGCTACGCAGATTATAAAATTAACAAAATTCAACATTTTACACATTTCTGCACGAAATATAAAAGCTGCGATGCAATTTCGTTGAAAATGTTGTCAAAATGTGCAGCTCTAAGCCTGAGCGAGTTATTATTTTCACGACAAATATATGCGAAAGGAAAAAATCGGCAGGTGTGTTCTTCACTATTGTTGAAATCAATAAAACATACAAACCGCAAAGGASAGCAGTGCGCAAGTCACGCAAATGCGCTTGACACTTCTAACGCAAAGACAGCACCCCCAAAATCAGTGCATTTTGACAGCTGACAGCAGCTGTAGCCGTTAGCGCTCAGCTGAAAGTGTGAGGTTTACTTTTATGATATTCTAATGTGTTGCTTCGCTTTGGCGTTCGTTAGCTTTCAACTTTCCAAACTTTTCGAACTTTTTCTATTTTGTTGCTGCAGCAACAAATGGCTGTTTTGTCAATCGCATTTCATTCGAACACTTTCAAACAAGCTACCTCTCAAGCCAGTATAAATTCCGAAGCAAAGCCAAAATATTTTCACAACGCGTCTAAACAAATCCTATTTAAAAGTCTCTTTCAACTTTTTTGAAGAATTTTTTCTATTGAAATACAAGTAATCCGCTTAAGTATCAGTTTAATACTAAAATGTGCGAGCATTATTGTGATGATTTGGAAACCTTCAATCCTGAAATTGAATACCAGAAGTTTCTRAAACGTAAACCCATCGTGCAAACGGCCAAGTTGTATGAGCAATTGCATACGCGTGAGAAGATCAAATGCCCATGTGAGTATTGAGCGGTAAAGTGTTGAGCCCTATCAGGCCTCACCTACAATGAGTTTTCTTCCTTACAGACAACTTCAAAGGCTATGGCGTGGAGACGGATAAGAACACAATGTATCGCACTTGCAATTCCGAGTATGGCTACTATGCACCCAACGCCTACACAATACCGACGCGCTACTTTCCTCTCTCACAGAAATTCTCCAATGAACTTGCTCGTTGCGGCATGTATCGTAATTTCTCTCTCAATACTTTAATGGATCGCGCGTATTTCTGAGTAACTCTTTGGTTGGCATCGCATTATTGCGGTATTTAAATTGGGAATATGTACTTCTGTCACTTGTTTGTGTACCAAATGCTGGATAATTAAATTGAAACGACCAATAAATTCAAGAACAGAATCAAATTTAGGTATTTATTTTGTCTTAAATGCTATATACTTATGTATGTAAATAAGATCTAGTCCATGTATACTCATATTTGCATTTTGTGGGAAATTGTAACATATTCCAATAGCCACGTTTTAGAAGAGTGGTCTTTTCAACTTTTATACTTTTTAGTAGCTTGCAAAAGAGATAGAAACAACGTATGTTGAGAGTTTGTGATGTAGCTACACTTAAGGTATTCCTCTTCTTGATTGGTGTAGTCACTGCTTACGCGATTATAGCTGAGTTAACAACTGCGCGCCAGTCGTTTCTTCTTTTCGCTACATGGCGCCAATTAGATATTCCAAGTGAAGACAGGTCCTTCTCCACATGGTCCTTCCAACGCAGTGGAGGTCTTCGCCTGCGGGTGCTGGTCCGAATACTTTTAGAGCTGGAGTGTTTTCGTCCATCCGGACAACATGACCTATCCTCCGTAGCCACTGCCTTTTAATTCGCTAAACTATGTCAATGTCGTCATATATCTCATACAGCTCATCGTTCCATCGGATGCGATATTCACCGTGGCCAACGCGCAAAGGACCATATATCTTTCGCAGAACTTTCTCTCGAAAACTCACAACGTCGACTCATYYGTTGTTGACATCGTCCAAGCCTCTGCACAATATAGCAGGACGGGAATTATGAGTGACTTATAGAGTTTGGTTTTTGTTTGTCGTGAGAGGATTTTGCTTCTCAATTGCCTACTCAGTCCGAAGTAGCACCTGTTGGCAAGA